GCGTTCGCGAAGTCTAAGTATGTGTTTGTCATGTCTTGTGGTGTCTTATTGTCTGATTGTTTTGGTTTTAAATGCAATTTAGAGGACAAATGAGATTATCGAAGGACGGGAAGGGAATGGGAGATAATTTGATGGCTTTCCAGACGATGGCGTTCGCCCGCAAATGGACACAAGGGGTCGAGTGGTTCGCCAAAGAGATCCAACACATGCCGGTCGTGACGTTTGGCTCATATTATGAACTGTCGATTGCCTTTAAGATTGAGTGCAATGTGGAAGTGATTACCGCCGATGGAAACCGTGAAGACACTGTCCTAAGAGTCATACAGAAGGCTATCGATAGCAATAAAAGTCGAATAGCAGTCGTCTGTCGAACCATCGATGAGATAAAGTTCTTAAAGCGTCGACTGATGACCAAATGGACGTGCGTTGTGGTCACCCACGAGACCAAACACTACGACTTGGAACAGCTGTGCAATAAGTGGCGCACCGGTACTGTCCTATTGGTGAACGACTCGGCCATCAGACAGATCTCGAGTGGATTCAAGAAGTGTCAGTGTCTTATCCACTATAAGCTTCCGAATGACTTTAAAGAGACATTTGGCGATCGGTTCCGACTGATGAGGGGTTGGCTCAAGAAGTATGAGACACCGATTGGCGCCACGAATGCCCGACGACTGTCGCAGTATATACTGATCGGTGATGACGACAGCGGACACGAACCCCAACTCATCCGATACCTGAAGCGCCTTAAGGCTCGCGTTCCTCTGCAGTTGACACACGTGTATGACTCGCAGCAACGGTTGCGCCCACTTTGCGGCTACTATTCCTCGTACGGGAAGTGTCCCTTCGAGTCGTTGGACTGTCCGAAACGGCACGCGTTTGGCCGCCACGACCGGCCCGACCCACGACTGCCCACCAGCGGACAGATCAAGATAACGGTGACCTACGTGTTGGGCGCCAACGACTTCTACTTCCGGTGCCACGAGTTTCGCGGTGCGAGTCAGACGTCCGGCAAATGGCAGCCAATGAGCGATAATTACGATGCGATCCGCGAAGAGCTAATTGCGCTCAAAGATACGCCATATAATACGGTTAGGGATCCAACGGGTGACAGACTGTACGGGATTGCTGTGAGGGGACAGGTATTTAGAGTGCGTTTGACAAAAATCATTGGTTCCGAAGAGACCAACTTCTACGAAGACT